AAACGTCAGCAGCCCCCAAGGCACGGCAGGCTACCAGCCACCTCCTGAAGTTCCCAGAACATGTCGTTGGGATCAGGTTATGGGCAGCAGCCCCATGGCCCTCAAACCCCTGTAGGAGACCAGACGTACAGGGAATCAGGTTGGGATCAGGTTATGGGCAGCAGCCCCATGGCCCTCAAACCCCCATAGGAGACCAGACGTACAGGGAAAACGTTCAGAGATCAGCCTCAGCGGCCCTTTAAAGACTTTCTTTTTCACTCCCAGGCCCAGGGATGGGGCAGCAACGCACTTGAATTTTTCAGTCCCTGGAATATTCCTTCCTAATTAACCTGCTGCTCTGCCCCCTGGAAAATTCCAGCCTCTGCATCTGTTTCACTTGGACAATAAAGTCTAACAGTGTGAGAAGCACAGGTTTGAAAGCCAACACATCAGGCTCAAGGGAAAGAGGTGGATGAGGGCTATGCCCAGCATGGTGGGCCCACTCAACCGATTAGCTACCCAAGGCGGAGGCAGGGGTCAGGATGCTTCGCACGTCTTTCCCAGTTTCAGAGGACTGTCTATGGGGGACTGGCAGAACCCGATTCTTTGTGACTATATTTCAAGCCAACTGAATCAAATTAATTTTTTTTTTTTTTTTTTTGTCGTTTTGCGGGCCTCCTGTTTTGGCCTCTCCCGTTGCGGAGCACAGGCTCCGGATGCGCAGGCTCAGCGGCCATGGCTCACGGGCCCAGCCGCTCCGCGGGATGTGGGATCTTCCCGGACCGGGGCACGAACCCGTGTCCCCTGCATTGGCAGGTGGACTCTCAACCACTGCGCCACCAGGGAAGCCCTGAATCAAATTAATTTTGCCTCCAAGACTTTTTGAGCATTGTTATCATGACTCTTGAGACCTTATAAAGAGGGTCCCAAACCAGTATTCAGTAGAAACCACGGCTGTTTCAATGACCATGGACTTGGCATGGAGCATAGGATACTAAGAGAAATGCTTGGCTGGTTTCAGTGCCTGACCTTTTCCCTCCAAACCAAGTGTCTATGACAAGGCCACATAACGGAGGACAGTGCCCTGAGTGACTTAGTCAAAGGAAGTAAGAAGTGAAGCTGAACACTTCTGACATTTAAATTGTCATGGAGACAGAGTGCTTCAAGGCAGTCTGAACCTCCCTGCATTTTGCCATTGCTTTAAATAATTCAAATTGAAACCCCTAGCTGCAGAATAACGTTTCTTTTCTGTTTCTGATGGATTTTTTTTTTCCCCTTCCGGAGGGAGTTGAGGCGGTCTGGGAGGATAGCTATGGCAACACCTTTAGGTTATGGAGGCTAAGCCCTGGGAGGATCACAGAAGAGGCCAATGGGAAATCTCTGATCTGAGGTCATTTCAGATAGATGTTCTCCAGGGAAGACGGTCCCGCGGTCCGCCTGGTGACACAACCAGTATATGCCAAAGTCTAGAAGCTTAAGTCTATCTGTATCGTCATGGCATTATAGGAAAGGGGGCCCCTCCTTTCTGCAGTGGGGTTCCAGACCTTTTGTGTATCTTAGTGGAACAGAATAAATAACATGATCACTAAGGGCTTTTGGAGAAATAGTGCAGTAAAATGACCTAATATGGTTTGAGACCTCCAGCTGGAAGGAGCAGAACTCGGCAGCTTCAGCAGGCATGGAGAGCTAGAGCACAGCGGAACGGGGCTTTACAGTGTGCAACCACACAAGGCCATGCCCGCCAAGCTGAGAAGCTTGGCGGTCACACCTTACTTTTCTGGTCATGCCCTCATACGGTCCCGGGGAGGCTGCTAGCTATGGGTTAAGAGCAAAACTCTCTTTGATTTATGACCTGAGTCTGGACTGAACCTAGAGAAGGCATTTGGAATAAAAGATACATTTCTCTTCTAGGCGTCTGATATATCGTTTTGTGATTCTGTGGATGGGAGGTTGGGATGGGGGCGTGATCATCAGGACGAGCTTGCCATCTTTCATTAGGCTCTCCCGGCTAACTGCAGAGAGGAGACCATTTGTCAGGCGAAAATTGAGACAGGAAGCAGGTATCAAGAAAGAAGACGTGTCGCACACATCTTGTTCTCTGCAAATAAAACACCTAGAAACTCTGCAAACCACTGGCTTGCCGGAGACCACACGTAAACCTCAGTTCACTTTAGTTCACATTTCTGGCTTGTGGGAGAGCTTCTCAACAGGCAAACAGATGCTTTTAAAGACTGGGGCTTAAAATATTTTTTGTCTTCCAGATGGCATTTCTGCCTTTTTGCCCAGAATAAGGGGTCTTTGCTCTGGGCTCTGGGAAGTGGGGAGGGTACCCCCCGGCTCACAGGTAGCTCCTGTTCTCTTGAGCAAATGGAAGGACAGGTCCAAACATAAGAGGAAAAGGCAGAGAAATGACCAGATCCTTGGAGGCTAATTTCTCCCACCAGTGGGATACAGATTCAGGGAGTCAGGATGCAAGCAGGCAGAACCCAAGTGTTTGTTCTTTAAGGAAATGTTCCCTATTTTTGTGTGCCTTGGCAAACTCAGGGTGGAATGCAAGGGTTGCCATGGCAACATCCTTTTTTTTTTTTTTTTTTTTTAAACACAGATAGGTCATGTGGGACCCACGCACATTCTGGAAGCCACGGTTAATAGTTCCCATGCTAGGTCCTGTTTGGGGGCTCTGGGAGTGATGAGAGACAGCTTCTTTGGGGGTCAAAGGGTCAGGGTCTGCACCCTTTGTCCCCCAAGCAAAGTGCCTCCCTGATCGTCACTCGCGTGGTCAGGGGTGGAGGCAAGAATGAGCCACGCTCGGTTTGCCAGTCTCTCAGCCACCCCATAATAGACTCTTCAGTCTATTTGCTGGGAGGACAGAGTGAGCATTGCGTTTCTCCTGCTCAGTTCCTGCAAAGGTCACTTCCAGCCAGGGCCACACGGCACACCGTGGACATGGGGGACCAGGACTTCTAGAGTCTTCATCCGTGAGCACAGTAACTCCCGTGAGGAAGGCACTGGCTGGCCTGGGGCCCTGGAGGAACACTGGTGTGGACAGAACTTGGGGGTGGGGCGGTGGGAAGTCAGTATTTTCAGCCCAACACCGTTGACAGACCGTCCAGGCAAAGCTGCTAAGCTACAGGATCTCGGTGCCCAGAGTCTCCGGGGTGCCGTTAGCTCTGGGACGTTCCCACACACTCAGCTCCTGGCGCCACGTGTGAGGTGACCACGGCAGGAGGTTCACTTCTAGCCCATCAAAGAGAATTCTATGGCTTCTTTCTCACCCTCCCTCCCTAGCAACACCCACAAGGGATGCCTTCTCCTGGGTAGGATGGACTTGGTTCCACGGACTCACTGGGAGAGAGGAAAATGGTCCTTTAGGGAGAGGATGCGAAGGACTTGGTGGGGAACAGGCTGTTGGTGTCTCTCAGGTTGCCGTTTAATTCACACCCTTGCACAGCGGCTAATTGCTCTTCCAATGAAGTCTAACCCTCACATCCTTCAAGGTCCCTGCTCCCCAGTAGGAGGCAGAAGAACCTGTAGCCTTTAAAGAAGTACTCATTTCTTTTGCCCTGAAGTCCAGCACTGCCCTCTCACAGGGCAGGGTCCTTTAAGAATCATGCCTGGGGTCTCTATCCAGTCTACTTGGGGTCTCTCACCCCGCTCCCCAGGAGGACATGGCCAAGTCATTCACGGGGTCCCTCCCACCTAAAGAGAGAGAGCAAACTGCTTTGGGCAGAAACTAAATATAAATTTGTCCTGTGTGTCCGTATTCTGCATTTGGACCTGTTCTCGTTCTGAAGCCTGGTCCTGAGGGACCGAGGTGAGTCTGGTGAGAGGGGAGAGAGGAGAGATAGACAGACGTGAAGTGTCTAGCGGGGCAGGGCGGGCTACAGGGACAGGCAGGCCATTGCCTTACTCGGCCTAGATGTGTGGGACCCCAGGCATTTTCACAGAGGGACTTGTAACCTCCCAGGTGCCCGGGAGCTTACACCTGCTCCCTCCTCCATCCTACAGCTCGAACCCTAGTTTTACTTGTGCTCATCGTGGATATTTGCAGTGGGGAGGTTTCTAGAGTTGCTCCCAGGCTGCTGCCCAAAGTGCTTGCAGAGGTGATTTGGAAGAAGACCCCAAACTGAGACCTTGGATGTTCCAAGTCTGAGCAGATCAGAGGGAGAGAGCGGAGAGAGAGGGGAGGCTTGAGGAGGGATTCATAAACACACACCGCACCCCAGAACCACCCGGCTGCAGCAAGAGAGGAAAAACTCTGGCATCTCCATACCGAACGAAAAGGGAAAAGGGAGAGGGGAATAGCTTGTAGCTTTAAGATGCAATGGAAAGAAAGAAGAGTAAGACAACTCCAGTCACAGAAATAAAGACCTGAGCTTGGAAACGTACAGAGGGAAGAATTACAGCGAAAGGTTATTGGCTAATCAGACTACGCAAGCTGGAATGAATAGCAGCGGTGAATATGGCATCTGGGAAAAGTCAGGAAATCACAAACTTGAAAGGGGGTTGGCTTCAGTTCCCTTCCCCAACAGAAGTATTTCACCTGTCGAGTTGGCTAAGCTCATTAGCATCTTTTTGTTTTCTTGTGAAAATGAGTCAGTTGCAGAATCTGACTGCCTGAAGATGTTATGTAAAATACAGTGGTTTGATCTTTCCAGCTTTCCGTTTGGGTTGGTGTTTCTCATTCTATCTGGGAAGACAGACTAAGAAAGCAAATTGGAAGATGAGAGAAAGGTGAGATGCACAAGGACCTTCACTTGCAGAGGTCTCCCAGCATGGAGATGTGTTTGGACTCCATCACTCTGGACCACTGGGGCGTGGCTTGCAATACCTCCTCACCACCAACCTATGTCCCTCTCCATCCCCAAACTACCCACCCCAGGGAGGCAGGGATGTGTGTCGGAGGACAAGCGTCTGTCAGCAGTAAAGCAATTAGGGACGATGGATGTCACACATGAAGAAACCCAATATATACGTCTGTCTGTGTGTCTATGTGATAGAGATGCCCACGGTTATGCTTCTTTTTTTTGTCTAAATGGCAGCACAGGCGGCAAAGCTGGGAGAAAGGCTCTCTGCAGATTCCAAAATGCTGGTGCGCGATGGGCTCTAGGAACAGAAAGCCAAGTGCCGACGGAAACCGAGAGCTCCCCAACTCTGCCAACAAGAGTCCTGTAGAAAAGGCAGTAGAACAGAAGCGAAGGGGGTGCAACTTGCAGACCGCTGGGTGCTGCACCCCATCCGATGGCTTTCCCCTCATGCCTTGCCGGGGGGGCCTCCACTAGGTTGGGGAAGGAAGCCAGGGTAGGACGGGAAGCCCCCACTTCTGCAGCAACTCAGAAGTCAGCTTCTCGGCACTGAGGGTTGCCCTGGGGTGGGGGAGGGAGGGAGTCTCCAGTTGACCCCTGGGTTGAGAGAACGGGGCGCGGAGGTGATTGCGTGTTCCGCCTCTCTCTTGCTGCCTTACCCCGCCAACCTGGATGGCCGTGGGAATTCCGAGATGAAGATGAAGTTTCTCTTTAGAGTTCCTACAGGCGGTCGAAGCGATCATTCGGAACTCCTGGCTATTTATTGCATTAGGAAACAAGACCATTAAAGCATTGAAGACAGCCCTTTTGTGTACCTGCCAAGGGGATGAAGTGGGTTTGCAACAACACGGGTTGCACTGCAACCTTGGGTTCTTCGCTGGACTGTGCCGCGTTTGCACCGTCCGTATCTGCTTTTTTTGTGGAGGAAGAGTCTGCCCGCGGGGCAAGCACATGCGTGAGCCAGGAACGCAGCTGCCGGGGAGGCCGCTACTCCATGCCGCTCCGGAGGATCTGGTTGGCCGCGATCAGCATGACGCTTATGATGAAGGCCATGGCGAAGGCGCAGATGAGGCTCTTCCGGACGCAGGTCTGTCTGTTCTGCTTCTGGGAATGCACTGGAGTGGGGTGTAGGGCAGAGGGCAAGGAGGCATGGAGGGAAGGCAGGGAGGGAAGAGAGAAATGACACAGTGAGACAGATTGCACTTCTTCCCCAACAAGCCCAGGGACCGGTCCACAGGAAGAAGACCGGTCACATCAAGTAAAGCATCTCTAGGTCAGCTCTCGGAAGAGACTGGGCATCCCTGCTCCTGGCAAATGGTATGAAGTGGCCAAACTTCAAAAATCGTGCCAGATGTGACGTTCCGAGTGAGGTCTAGGCTTCCAGATGCAATAGCGCTACCGCGGTTTCGGAGCGAGGAAATACATCACATTTTCAGCGTGAGTCTCACCAAAGGCATCGTCCAGGCCTGGCCATGTCGTTTCTGCAGAAAGCCGGCCTCCCGTGTTTGAGGCAGCTGTTACAGACAGAGCAAGGTTCGGATGCATCCCTACAGGATGGGCTGGAAGCCACTTACCTTTCCCAGGACTGTTCTTGGGTGGCTACCAGTTGAAATGACTCTAAGGGACTTCTGGCATTATGGCAGATACGCGCAGCAGCGGTTCGAGCGCGGGGTCCCTGGCTAAGCTACATCACAGCACCAAGAACTTATTAAAAAGGCAGATTCTCAGGCCGGCCCATGCTCCCCGCAGATCTGTTGAATGGGGGACTCTGGCCAGTGATCTCCTGAGTTTAACTAGGTGATCGTGGTGCATGTTGAAATCTGGGTTGTGGAGACCACGTGAGCTGTGGATAGGACCCGCGTGAAGCAAGGAGGTGCAGGATCCTCTCAGGCTTTTCGGAGGCAGGGTGTCCCTGCCCCCAGATCCTGCGGCCCCAAGGGTCTGACCTTGCGTCCTGGGGTGGCGCTGTCTTAATCCTTTTGTTGGGCCAGGTCTTGAGTCACCATTTTTATAAGGCCCATGAGAAACCATTAGTTGGTCTCGATCAGAAGGCGTTAACTAGTGGGTTAGGAATATGGGCCAGAAATAGGGAAATGGAAAGAACAAGAAAGGAAAGAACGGCTCTCTCCTCCAGGCATTGCTTCCCACGCCAGAATTTCTTTTCCTTCTCTTTCCTCTTTTTGTCTACACCTCCTTCCCTGTCCGTCCTGGTCCCGAGTAAGCTTTACACACAGTTTACCACTTGGCTTGTGGAAGAAATCCCTTCCTGGGAGGCTGGCGGGAGGCGACCTACACCAGGGCTACTCGTTGGACCAGCTGCCTCGGCACCACCTGGGAGTCTGATGTCAATGCGAATTCTCCCACCCCATCACAGAATGACTGAATCCAAATCTGTGGGGGTGGAGGCCAGGAATGTGTATTTTTAATAAGCTCTGCAGGTGATTAGGGGATCTCCAGGGCCCAGCCCCAGGCTTTTTGGTTCAGTACATCTGGGTGGGGCCCAAGAATCTGATAGAGCTTGAGTTGCTGGGGGCAGGAGGGCTGTGTGTGTGTGTGTAGGTGTGTGTTAGGGACATCGGGCTGTGGGTACTGCAGAAACCCAAGGCCAGGACTGAAGAACATTTTCAGATTACCTTCCATTTTGCAAAGGGGTCCTTCTGCTAGACATTCTACTGCCCCTTTGCAAACAACCACCAGCTGAGGGAAAGTGGTTTTTCTTTAGGCCAAATTGAGTGAAAAGAGAAAGAAAAGAAGTGTAATTTCCCTTAAAATGACTCTCTGCTGGAAAGAAGGCAAAAGAAAAGGTCAAGGTAGGGTCCACATGCCTTTAAAAAAACCTAAAAAAAATGTTCAAGTTCACGCCCCTCTCCCCCTTGACACTGAGCGGCTCCTCTAATGCCCTAGAAATAGCAGGGAAGAAGCAGGAAGTGGGTGATGTTTCCAAAGGCAGAGGAGCTTCCCCTGAGACAAGGCTCAGGGTGGCCTCTACAAATTACATCCACCGGAAAGTTTCTCCACACTTCACAGAGGCCCAATGCCCCCGGCACAGCTCCCGGCTCCCTCCCCAATACCTGTCGGTTATTTCTGCCTTAGTTTCTTAGGCCTTGTCTCGATATCTTTAATCCTTCTGGGTCCCCTGGGTCCCTTGGTGATTGAAAGTATTTTTGGCTCAGTTCTCTACTACTTGCTCATCCTGTCTGGGTCTTAGAATCTTATAAGTTCTTACCTGGAGGAAGAAAATTTCCTCGGTGCAGAGACGTGTCTGCCTCCAGAAGTGGGCAAATGTAAAAAGTTGTATCAGCCCTCAGGAAGGAAAACGGAGGTGGTGTTTGGGAAGGAAAGGACCCAAAGCAGAAAATAAGGTGAGGATGTGGAAATGGCGTATCTAACACTTTCTGAGGACTATAATTTATTCCGGCAGCTCCTCAGTATAAAACTGCTTCTGAAGGCAGACATCTACCTTCCTATCTTGAGGGCTGGCGAAGGCTTAAGGAAAAGAAAAACTGTGTGATTGGGCTGAGGGAGAAATTTTTTGTTGAAGCCCTTCTTTGTGAAGGACACTCAGAAAAAAAGGTTACAGGCAACAGGATTATCCCCCAGGAGAGTGGCTGCACCTTTGATCTAAAAATCCTTCAAAGCAGTAGGAGGGGAGAGATAAGGAAGGAGGAAAGGCCTGGGGACCTAATAGTTTGTACATGAGGTCATGCCAGTCTGGATCCAGACGTGAGTACTGTAAGTAGAGTGCAGCTTCCAGCTCTCTCTCCTGGGTAGTTCTGAAACCCACCGTCATTGGAGATTAGAGTCTTTAATTCAGATTCTGTGCAAGGATGAGAATTCTTTTTTATTTTTTTAATTAATTAATTAATGTTTGGTTGCGTTGGGTCTTCATTGCTGCGCACAGGCTTTCTTTAGTTGCGACGAGCGGGGGGCTACTCTTCACTGTGGTGCGCGGGCTTCTCATTGCGGTGGCTTCTCTTGTTGCAGAGCACGGGCTCTAGGCACATGGGCTCAGTAGTTGTGGCGCACGAGCTTAGATGCTCCACGGCATGTGGGATCTTCCTGGACCAGGGCTGAACCTGTGTCCCCTGCATTGGCAGGCGGATTCTTAACCACTATGCCGCCAGGGAAGTCCCAGGATGAGAATTCTTTCACATCCAGTTCTGATGTAAGTTGTGTGGTAGAGTGAAGAAGCCAGACACCAATCTTAATCACAATCATCTTATCCCACATTGTAGCTGTGTGAGCTGGGGCAAGCCAAGCTCCCTGGGCCTCAATTTCCCCGTCTATAAAATGTGGGTAAATAAGACCTACCTTGTGGTGAGGATTATGAGCATAGGAAGGTACTTGAATGTTGTCTGTGCCCAGTGAATGCTAATTCCTACATGGAAACCTTGAAAAAATTCCCCTTTGCTTACTGAGCACCCACCTCAGTGGGCAAGGTACGCATATGTACTTTATAGACGTCCTTGCAGAATTAATAGCGATAGTCCTTTGTGAATGGGGTGTGTGACCCTCATTTGGTAGGTGAGGGCTCTGAAGCTCCGAGAAGTAGAGTCCAAGGTCTTTTGGAAAATGGTGAAGGTGGGATTTGAACCCACGTCTGATTCTAATATCCAGGTTCAAAAGTTCTACACAAACTCTCTCCTGATCTTTTGTTTAGCAACAGAAAGTACAGCCAGAGGAAGATCCAAAAGAAATGTCCTTCAAACGCTTGGTGTGGTCGACAGTATAACCCAGCACTAATTAATGTGTTTGTTGATCATAATTTAATGCCTGTCTTTGGCTATCATATATTTGCATTGCACTATATTTTTGTGTACTTATTCATTCTCAGTGTCTACACTTGGTTTCCCCAACAAGATGACAGGTCAGCCCAGGATGAACTGTGAGTTGGAGATATGGCTTCTTCTCTTCACTGCCACTTAGGAAGAGCCCTGGGCAAGAGGCTGAATTTCTCTGAGCCTCAGTTTCTCGCTCTGTAAAAGGAGCTAATGATAATTGTTCTGTTAATTTCAAAAATTATTTCAGAGATCAACGGGCTCATAAAAAAATCAAAAACTATTGTGCAACCCTGACTTGCTAGAGAAATGCAAGGTATCCTTCCTGTATCCCCTGAGGGCTGCAGAAAAGACCTGATGGTTTTTCTCCTGTTTCCTGCAGCCTCTAGCCCCGGGCTGAGACTACAGCAGATGCTCCCAAGACTTTGCTTTGGTCCCTTCCCTCAATTATTCATCCTGAACTGCAGCCAGACTCCTTCCTGGAGCAGTGCTCGGTATGCGTCATCACGCCCTGCAATCTCCCTGAAGGCCCCCCCTTGCTGGGGGAAGCAGTTCTATCCAGCTCCTAAGCTCAGCAGGTAGGCAGAATCGCAGATCACCTCCTATCCCCTTTGTCCCTCTGTCCCTAGACCACCCCTCCTCCCCTCCCCCAGCAACCTTTTTCTCAGCCAAGCAGCTATGCTCTCTACCTAAGACTCTGCAGCACTGTTCATACCTTTCCCTCTGTTAAGGGTGTCCACTTACCTTCCCTCTCACTTCTTCCAGGCCTAACCTAAACTTCACTTTCCTATGAGGCTTCTCCTGAACATCTACCGTGCTCTCAGAGGGCCTGATATTTTAATTTTTTAAAAAATCTAGCTCTTAATATTTATTTACTTTCAATTGAGAAAGAATCCACATACCATAACATTCACCCTTTTAGGGTGTACAATTCAGTGGTATTTAGTACATTCCCAAGGGTTGTGAAACCATCACCACCACCTAATTCTAGAAAGTTCTCATCACCCTAAAAATAAACCCCATACACATTAGAAGGCACTCCTCATCGCCCTCCCTCCCCAGCCCCTGGTAATCATTAATCTACTTTCTGTCTCTATGGACTTGCCTATTCTGGGCATTTCATATACATGGCATCATACACTATGTGACCTTTTGTGTCTGGCTTCTTTCACTTAACATAATCTTTCCCAGGTTCACCATGCTGCAGCATGTGTGGGTACTTCATCCCTCTTGGAGGCTGAATAATATTCCATTGAATGGACGTACCACATTCTGTTTATCCATTCACCAACTGGTGGACATTTGGGTTGTTTCTACTTTTTTGGCTATTAGAAATA